CAACGATACAATTATTTTTCATTTAAACTATAGTTGTTAAAACCTAGTATATCTAGGCATAGTTAAAAAAGAAACTTTTAAATTATGGTTGAAAATTGTAACTTATAGTTAAGTATAGGTTACAGTTCCACCAGATAACTGTAACCTAAATTCAGTTTCCAAGAGGGATATAGGCTGCAGTTTCAAGATAACATAAGCCTATAACCCTTCTAGAACAATTTAAAAAAAAAATCAAGTATAGACTACAATTTTTGATAGAATAGTAGCTATACAAGTAATAAAAAAAATTGAAAGTAAAAAAAAACAATGGAAGAGGGCTACGGTTTTGTAAGTAATAGTAGCTTAAAAGCATCAATGAAAAAAAAAACAAGTATAACTATAGGTTTTGCCTTGAATCGTAGCATATATTTAATTATATGGTATGATTTTTGTTAGAATAGTAGTCTATAGCTACTTTCCTTTTAAAATATATTTTTTTTAGTTTTGGTTTTTGCTTACATAATTTCAAAACCTGGAAACTATTTACCCAAATATATCTAGATACAGTCAAATCTCATAACAAAATATATAACAATTCTATATTAAAGTCAATTCTATAATAAAGTAAGTACTTTCAAACCTTAAAATTTTAACGTGTTTGAAGTGTGTTTTTAATTGAGAGTATGTTTAACCCGCATGTTAAACAACTAAGAAGCCATAAGATTACGTATATTGCAAGTACAATGTGAAAGAAAAGTTTGTCATATAAACATGTTGGGTTTACTGAGGAGGAAGTTCACCGAGGAGACATAATACAAATGAGATATGAGTCCAATCATATAAGAGATCAACATCACTCTCTACCAAAAACCTTAAGATAATGGGTTAACAAGTCTTTTAACTTTATATAGTGCTCTACTTTCTCATTTTTATCTAATGTAGGACTTATACTCACACTTGGATTCCTAACAATCTCCCCCTCAAGGTGAGTCTCTTCCACTTGGATAAAAATGAGAAAGTAGAGCACTATATAAGTTGAAAAACCCATTAACTTATTGCCTTAACGTTTTTGGTAGAGAGTTGTGTCAACCTCTTATATGATTGGACTCATATCTAATTGATATTGTGTTTCTCCGGTGAACTTCCTCCTCAATAGACCTAACAAAACAAAGAATTTACAACTATTAAAACTAAAATTCAAAAATTTCTTTCATATCTTATGATTTGACTCCTACGATTGTGTTTGGTTTAATTAGTTCTTTCCAAAATTAGGTATATAATTAAATTATTATGATACCGTCTTATCTAAAAAAATGTACTATGATTTTTGAATTTGATTCTTCCGTAATATAATAAGAAAATAATAGAAGAAGATATAAAAAAGACAGATAAAGACTCATCAATCTAACTTATTATTGAGTCAATGAAAATTTTATCCAAAAATTTTAATCTTCGAAAAAGAACAAATATCCTAAGACAAAAACTAAAAGAATAATCTTTTTATGAATTCAAATTCATACAACACATAAAAATCATGTACATAATGACGATTTTAATATGGTGATTAATTAAAATCATTGCCTTTTTTTGCGGTATAATATATCAACAACCAAATTTTGAATGTATAATATGGCGTTTTTAACCACCATCTTTTTCATTTCATTGTCATACTATTATTTGAAAATATAACACTTTAAAATACCATTTTATAATAAAATATTATTCGTTTTTAATTTATGAATATTTTCCCAGTTCTTATATGTCCAAGTCTCCCTTTTCTATTTAGGTTCTGATTTTATGTCCACTTTTTTTCACTTTTATATTCCTGTTTTATTTAAATTTAACTGATTTTTTAAATTCAACCGACCTTTTAGATTTAGCTATTTTTAAAAATTAAATAAATAAAAATAATCTACTAAAGAAATAAAATACCATTTACAAAATAAATAAAACTATTTATAATTAAATTGTAAAAACTATTTATTATTTTTATAATTATAATTTCATTATTTTTTGTTATATAAAAAAAGTAAACACGCACGTATAATACATGTATTTTCACTGGTGTAAAAATAATGACAGTATAATGCAGTGACATTGAATTGTTTTTTATAACTGAATCTACAACATTTTAAAATGATAGTTTGTTTTTTTTTTACAACAATAACAAATATAATTAAAGAGATAATTGGGTTGCCCCAACCCCTATAAAAAAAAATAGAGAAGAAAAAAAAAAATCCATGAACCAATTTCCTCATGTGTACCTCCTCCAATAATGTGAATCAAAACAAACACATAATATAATTTCAGAGAGTCCAAAAATTAGTAGAATATGAACAAGATAACATGAAGTATAACGTCAATGAATATGCCTGAAAAAAAGACATAAACACTAATCTTAAGAAAAAGTTGTTGCTGGATAATTATCTGTGATCCAAACTCATGCTTTGATCTGGTTTAACATAAAAACCTTCAACTATTGCATTTCTAAATATGACGTCATCTCTGAGTACAAATGGCCGAAATGATAGTTTATCCACATATTTCCTCAAACTTGATTACATTTGTTACTACACCCTATTAGTTCAAATGTACTAAAATGTATTTTTTTTCACTATGCTAATATGAGATTATCTTCCTATCCAAGAATCACAAATATGTCAAATGTCTGTTGCCACTTTGGAGTTAAAAAAGACATAACTCCATGCCAAAAATTGAAAAATGACATGCTTTAATTTTCCACAACACATCACATTTCAATCCACCCTCAACATATTTCCAAACATCTTTCTTTTCTCTGCATAAATTTATTATTTTTAAACTTTTTTTTAATTCATTAATCAATATTTATCTCGTTCATATTATTCTATTTTCCAATATATAGACCATCGTTATTAATCAAAAGTCTCGTACCAACTAAAAATAAGATCAATTTATAATATATGAATAAATATAAATTTTATTTTATAGATTGATTTTATGAAATTAAATTAAACTAAGTTATTCAAAAAACTAAAATTAGTTAACGTATCTCTTTCATCCAAATATCTTTTCAAAATCTTATTTTATTACCATCCGCTGTGCTCTATTTCAAATTACTATCACACCAATAATCGTTTTACCAGTTTAAAATATGAGTGTCACGAGGGTTGATATTTTCACCACGGTTTTATAGTTATATGATATATTTATAATTATAATTTATATTATTAGTATATTAGTTTTAGTGCTTCTTCTAAGACCACTTTGGGATAAATAAAGTTAATCTGCAAACCATCGGCATTATCATCTAGGAAAATGTTATTTGGACAACAAAAGTTTGACACAATTTTAACAACGGCGACGTGGCAGCTGTGCATTGGCTCAGTGAACCGGGGTGAGGGGTATTTTGGGTTTTTTCTGGTTTGTTTTCAATTCACTGAACCAATGCACAGCTGCCACGTCGCCGTTGTCAAAATTGTGTCAAACTTTTGTTGTCCAAATAACATTTTCCTATCATCTAATGTGAGTCTAGTGGAGGAATTATGAATGGGAACAACTTTTTAGATCTCAAAGCTGCAATCTCTCTACAAATGCATTAAATGCAATGTTAATTACCTCGTTTTCCGTACCTTGTTCAACGGACAAGATATATTTATATTGTAAGGTCAATTGTAAAATCGAAATCCTTCAAAAAAACAAAAGTTACAGGTATTTAATATGTTGGAGGTCCACGGATTTTTTTTAAAATGAGTTTTTAACTCTTATAATATTTGTTGTCATTTATTTTAATCTTCCGTGAATTGTAACAAAAAAAACATGTTTTATGTTCATTTAAATATATTATATTTAAATTTTGTAAATATAATATATTTTTGGTTTAATCTTTATATATACATATATTAATCAGTTTATCCCGACTTCCATGTGAGTGATATAACACTCATGATTTTAATAGGTGATGAAGAGTAATTTTTGAATAAAAACATAACTTGTTTTGTGAAAAATAAAAAACAGTTATATTTGCGGAATCTTAAAACAATTTTAAGTCAATTAGAAACAAGTAATAATAACTTATGAATTAAGAGAAGATGTAAACCCAATCCCCATCTTGTTTATAAATATGTTTTGTTGTTTTTTTTTAATTTTATTTTGAAATTATCAAAATGGAATAACTTTTAAAAAAATAAAATTTAAATAAGTCACGTCAAGTTAATACGGTTTAAAAATAAAAATTGTGTCATACCAAAACAATTTTATTTTAACTGAAAAAAAATTGTGTCAAGTAAGACGGCTTTTGATAAAAAAATTGAAGTGATAGTATATTAGACTTTAATACATTTCATAAAACAGAATTAAAACTGTTACAATATCATATGACCTTAATATATTTTGTAAAACATTAAAATTAAGCTGTAACGAATTTAACTTTTTCATAATTTGACACAACTTCAATAGCATGGTCACTACACAACTTCCTTGTCTAAGTTTTAAACTTTTTAAAAGTTAACCGTTTGATAATTTCAGATACACCAAAATGGTAAAAAAAACGGTTTTGTTGATTAACTATAATAACAAGCATATTTGTAATCCTGTTTTTCATATAGTAAACCAAAAACATGGCCAAATATTTCAATTTTTTGTTTTCTTGAATAAAACTTCTTACACATTTTGATGGTTTATAGACAATCACATTAAATTCTATTACATCATCAAAATAAATGCACACGTTAAAAAAGAAAACAAAATGATTTTTTTCACACTTAAATTTTTTACATTCATTTAATATTATTTTTCTCTATTTTATATTTTTTTCTTTTGAAAAAATATAAAAAATTATATTTTTATAATGATTTTATCCTTCTATTCTAACAAATGAATATAAGTGTCGTAATATTATTATTTAAAATAAAAAAGTTTATACGACGATTAACCAGACAGTAAAGTGTGGCAGGCACAAAATAATATGCAGAGGTAAAATGTGCATGTTCTTTTTGAAATCATCCTGGTGATTCATCTAAACAGGTAAAGGTGTCAACAAATTCAAGCTCTGATATACTGGTAAATTAGCAAGTGGAACAAGCACTTTCGGACACGTAATAAAGTATGTCTACAAATTGAAGAATCTGCGCTGGGGTGCTGCCCTCTATAAATCTAAAAGGCCCAACTTGTGAGTTCTTTTCCATAGATTGGGTTCGCGTTTAGGTATTCAGATTTTGCTGGAAGAGGTAATTGAGATCTCGTTTTCTCTTGGAAGGTATATATGAACCAAAGAATGTGTATCATTTGTTTTACTTCCTACTTTCAGGAACCATTCGTACTCTCATCGTGCTTGCGGAAACTGAAGCAAAATTTGTAACAGGATGACCTCAATGGAGGAATCGTGGACTAGTTGGCTCTGTGATATGGTAAAGTCATATTATTATAACTATCGGTATTATTAATGTCTACATGCTATTACTTTTTGCTTAAATTTCACTACATTGTTGCAGGAGCCAGATGATTACAGTTTCATCGGTCAATCAGACACAAAGGTGGAGGATGTTAATGGAAGTTTAGCATCTCCTCGTGATATAGCCACTGCATTAGAAGAGAATCCGCAGAGCTCATTTTCCACTGAGAGTCACTCTTCAGTGACTGAGAGTGGCATAGAAGAGAGGCCTTTGAAGTTAATCAAGACATGCACTTCAAACTCTGCCAAAACAGACCAACTCTCACAAATGAGAGCTTCCACACCCTGCTCCTATATTCTTTCCTTTGACAACACCAATCCACCAACACCTAAGGTTGAATCGGCTATAAAGCCAGAAACCAAGGTTGTGAAACGTGGGATAGCTCTGCCTTCAAAGAATGAACCAAAACGTGTTACTCAGGAGAGCAAGAAAACGGGCTCATCAGCCAGATCTTCTCATCACACACAAGATCACATAATTGCCGAGAGAATGAGGAGAGAAAAGATTAGCCAGCAGTTCATAGCCCTCTCATCCCTTATTCCAGACCTCAAAAAGGTTCATTTTTCTTTAGTGTACTTAAGTTTTGAGATCATATCACTCAAACATATTTACAGATAGATAGATATATTTGTATTATGGCACTAAGGAATGGTAATTTGTTTGAAGATGGACAAGGTGTCTGTATTGGTGGAAGCTATAAGGTACGTGAAGGAGTTGAAGGAAAAAGTGAAAGTGATGGAGGAACAGGGCAAAAGGAAAAGCCATGAACCGGTGACGTGTGGGAAGAAAGCTCAGGTTTGTGCTGCCGCGGACGAGGATGTCTCAGACACTTCATCAAATTCCGGTGAGTTCGGAAATTCTGACGATCCCTCATCCAAAACAAATCTGTTACTGCCAGAAGTAGAAGCAAGGGTGTCAAAGAAGAACGTGCTGATTCGAATCCTCTGCGAGAAAGAAAAGGCAGTGTTGGCGAACATTTTTAGAGAGGTAGAGAAACTTCATCTCTCAGTCATCTATAGCAGCGCCTTATCTTTCGGCTCCTCTGTTCTCGACACAACCATCGTAGCCGAGGTACCTTTGTTACTATCAAAAAATCATTTCCCTTCAAAACAACTGCACAAGGTTAAAGAACCTTTTTAAATTCAATGGAGTTTTCAAAAAGATGTTTGAAATTTCACAACGAGTGTTGGTTTGTTTCAATTGATGGCAGATGGAAGATGAATTCAACATGAGCGTGAAGGAACTGGCTGGAAATCTGAGAGTAGGACTGATGCAGTTTATGTAGAGTATGCAGAAGACTGAGCTGCAATAAAGACCAGGAATTCAGCGTGTTAAATATCCTAGTAAATCTAATCTTTGTTGTTAATTAGCTTATGTAAAACAGCATTAGACTGAACCGGTTAGAGAGAAGCAATGCCGTAGCATGGTCCATCATGGGAAAGTGGGATCTAACTTTTTGCAAAAAGGCTTACAGCCTCGGAAACTATGCATTTTATAACTTCCCTTACTATTTTGTTTTGGTTCTTTAGAAGTGTTATTCCTATTTAGTACGTAATATTCACGATACTAAAAATTAAAACATTTATCCTTTGATTTTAGTCATTTTAATCTATTCTTAACCTAAATAAGTGACCTTTAGTCTGTTGAAATTTTATTCATAATTATTGTATAACAACAAGTTGTTTTAAAAACACGAATGAAGTAAGAGAATTTATAGAATTATATTATTTTTCTCTACTAGTTTTTTGTTTTTTTAACTGGGATATCTGTGGCATGACTGGTGTAGTGGTTAAAGACTATAGGGACCACTTCGCATGTTTTACAAAATGAAGTTTTAAATAGTGGCGGGCTTGTTTCATCGCAGGTACCTTGGTACACAAAAGGAATCTCTGGTGGACTGGTTGCCATCATGTGAACTTTGTTGGATATCATAATACTTTAAATTAGTAGCATAGATTGATTAATAGAAAATGGTTAAATTGGTTGGTGTAAATAGTCTTCTTCAGTGATGAAACATTTGTACTTTCAATTCTATAATCGATGCTTACAGTAAAACTATTGTTAAAGGAATAATAAAGATAGAAATAAAAAAGGATGACAAAAAACTTAATATGAAATAGTTGTGATGAAAAGAGAGTGAAGAAAAAAATGCTGTAAAATATCTTGGAAAAATAATATTATTCTTATCTTGCCTAAATCGTATTTTT